ATTTCTACTGCGACGACCAGTCCTTCCCCGGCTTCTTTGCCGATGTAGAGACGAGATGCCAGGCGTGGCATTATTGCGACATAGACGGCCGACAGGCAACGTTTCTCTGCCCGAACGGCACGCAATTCAGCCAAGCAGTATTCGTCTGCGACTGGTGGTTCAACGTAAGATGCGAGCTCAGCCCGAAGCTCTATGCCATCAACAGTCGACTTTACGGTACGCCCACCGAGAGTCCGACCAGACCTCACCGGCTGATCACGAAGGAGCTTTTGGAGAATATCTTCGTGCGTAGGAAATGAATAGGCCAAGCAGGCGGCACGCGATACTCGCCTCGAAACAAAGAGAGAAGAAGAGAAGGAACGAGAGAAAGAATGAGAACGGTCGTCGTCATCGTTCGAGATGGAAAATACTTTCCATCGCCATACAGAAATATCGCATAAAGCACCAGGAGTCTTTAATTTGCATAAGATATCCTTTTATTTTCTTTAACAAATCGTCGCGAATCGTGTTACTTCAAGATTCTCGGTTTTTTGCATCTCCGAACCAATCGTAGTCATTTAACTATTCCATTATACTGATCGACAAACTAGCGTGAGACTTATGCCTGGACTCTATCACGATTGCGAAAACACTTTCACAGGAAACGCGAACGAGACATTCGAGAACATCCGACGAATAATCGGCCGTGAGGAAAACACGTCACTCTGAAGAACCACTTTGAATCGAAAGATTATCGAAAGAGATAAATCTTTGCCCAATGAATATCGAAGTGATCGGCGAAGACTTTTCGTTCGTGAGGGAAGACGCGGCGCCGAGGAAACGAGAAAGGATGATGCTCCTCGATGCCGAGCACCGCTGTGTCAATAAGAGAGGAACCGGAGATGGACTTCCGCTCGCGTTCACCCTTCCGCATTCGCGTCCCTACGACCCTCAATACGGTTCTTAATCGTTGATGAGATCCCGTCCGAGACTATTGTAGCTCTCCTCTTTCTACCGGCCTCTTTACGGACGGATGTCATCGACGTCTCTCTATCTCGTCAGTAGATAAGAAGCTTCGGAAGTTGATTGTTAAAACGGAAGTACGACAGCCATGTGCCATCGACACATTTGCGCGAAAATCGATCAACCATGTGCTCTGTGATCGATCATCAAAACCAGACGCGACTCTCGTCAAGATGACGATGCGTGCTTTGACTGCGCTATAATATATTTGATAGACTGTCGCGATTTTCATTGTATTTTCAGTAGCGATCTTTTATATGCTAATTATGTTTATTAATCTAAAAATATATCAATCTCGACAAAGTTTAATTACGCTTTAATTTTGCGGATGTCGTAGTGTTCCTTGTACTTTCAAAAGTGAGTTTTTATACGCTAAATTGTGTCTATAAATATAGGCAAATATCTTCAAAATATCTTTAATATGTTGCTGTAAATATGCCGATTACAAACACACAAAGCATCTAACCGAAAATATTATTAACTTGTTAATATTGTTGTATGAATCGTTGAGCGATATGATGATTAAAAACAAATAAAAATTTGATATTTCTTTATATATACTAATTTTTATACACAATTATTCTGACATATGAAACATAAAAACCATTACTATTATATTTAACGAAAAATTACAATTTACTATTACGATTTATATTATTATTTCATCCAACGATTCACGGCGCAAACAGTGTAATATTTAAAGAAAAATGTGTCCAAAAGTTATTTAATTCGAGTAATCGTTTAAAAATATAAAGATCGCTTTGCAAAATATCAAATTTTTGCGACGATATAAATTGTTATCTGTTTCAAACTACGCCGCAAAAAGAAATCGTTGCGCGTGTGCGGCATCGGCGGATGCAAAAGTTGATGCTGCCCGAAATCAATAGCCGATAATACGATTGTACACATTTTGATTGTGATGCCCGAGCGAAGTACGACAACGGCAAAGGCTTGCCGGCAATTAGTAATGGCATGTTGTGCGATCGCGCGATATTGTTGCGGCTCGTGTTTCGTAGCGCTCTGAAAAGCGATCGTCACGCGACAAATTCTCTACTAATCCACGACTAATAAACGAATATATGCACGACAAGCACAATCGAATCGCGAGCTGCGATTTTTTTTTTTTCTTTATTGTACAGAAAAACTGGGAAACATAACTAATAATCATACTCGAGGCATCTCCCTCGTCTCGAGCACGCTTGAGTTTGTAGTGGTAATTAGTTGTTGATATTGTGAATGAGTAAGTGTATGCGTATGTGTGTGATTTTGTGTAACGTCATTGTTGTTCGTAACATTTGTTGTAAGCGCTTTCTGCAATGGAATGAACATGTGCCTAAAATCTTTGCGCCTTGTATATAATAGAGATAAATCATATATGTCTACTAAGCCATTATATATCAATTTTGTTCCGTAGCGCTATAAACTCGTTAATGATTTTGTGTAAAAAAAAAATAAGTTAATATTTAATCAATAATAAAAAAAAAATTCAATGTTTTTCAAAATTCTAATAAACGTAATTGGCGATGAAAATGTACGATTAAAAGAAGTATCCCGAAACTTACGAATAGCTAGCTATCTTCGATTCTCTGTAATCCGACGAGGAATGTAATCTTCATAAAGTAGAATGTAAATATAGAGAGAAATGTAATCTTCATAAAGTCCTGAACGATACGCAAGAATGCAATTACTGAAATTTTTATTTAATATAAGGGAAGAAGCTTTTACGGGAGGAAGTAATAGCAAATTAGTTCAAAAACTTTTTGATACGGTGCATCTTTAATGAAAGATGCCAACCTTTGCTAGCCAATTTACTAATGAGAAACGGTTAACAGAGATAGAGACAAATTGAGTAAAATTAAAGATTACTTCTTAAACAAGTAGCGAGATTTAAGCCGGAGAGTTGAAGGGTCACGCTTAATTTGATAGAAAAGAGAAAATCTTAACTAATTCGTTCCGTTCGTGGTTTATACGTAGTGCGATTAAACATGCCTGTTAATTGACAGTAGCGTTTTGCCCATTTTTACCTGTAATCGCGGTTTCAAACATTGTGGTTTGTGGTTGAATCACATTTAATTCGATTTAAGTGTCGCGCCAACCAATCATTCACGCGAAAACAATAATAAAAAAGGACATGCGCCGATAGTCTAATTTTGAACGAAATTCACATACTCACACACACCCAATCCATTTCCTGTATTTTCAGTTTAAATTTGTGCTATTGAAAGACATGTCCTAAAGGCGAACAAGATGATTGACATTTTAATAGTCGTGCATATATTTGATGGACAATTTTATGTTTAAGACAAAATCGAAGAAATTATTTTAAAAAAAAATTCTTATATACGATAAAATATTACGTGTTAAATAAACAATAAACGTGTAATTATTTTTATATATTTTCAAATTTCAAATTTAAGTTATATAAGGGAATCGATAAAGAAAAAATATGCGTAACGCAATATTTTTCGATAATCGGACAGACTAAGAGTATCTTTTTGTGTAACTTGAGTATTGTTAAAAAAAAAAAAAAAATGGCGAACAGTATAGGTCCGGTGATGGTAGCGAGTGCGGTCATTGCAGCCACAACTGATTCAACCCCCTATACACCGCGAATGGAGAGTTTTATATAAAATATCAGGTATCCATGTTGCGTTAAATGAACCGCAAGTTGCATTTCGCGAAATAACTGGTTTTGTATCAGAAATTTTTTTTTTCCACGAACTGAATTAGTGCGGCGCGATGGTACGTTTTGAGGTTTGTCTCTGTGGTTTCTGTTTCAATTTTATTTTATCTCCTCCGCCTCCCTCTTTCCCCCTCCACTATTAGATTCGCTTCGAATTGCGTGGCTGATATTCCTTGTGTATCTGTGTATAATGTGTATCTATTTCCGTAAACATCAATTAAGCGATCATTAATTATCACGTCGCTTGAGATAGTTTCTAATGTAAATTATATGAATATTTCAGGATATTTTTTAAAACAATTTTTTTTATTTTAATCGCGCGAAATATTAATTAAAAATCACTGCTCTATACTTCGGAGAGCTTTCAATACGATTTGTCGTATCTTGCAAATTATATCTAGACTATCATGTGTGCAATCTTCACCTCGCACGGATGGACGAAATCGTTTATTCAAAACGGACATAAAGCGAGATCGGCCAGTATTGGGGAACGTTTAGAGTTATTGTCCAGGAAGGTGGATGCGCGGATTGGCAAAGCGAGAAGAACGACCGTGCGGTGCTCGCCGAAGGAGTCTAAGAATCCATCAACGAAATCAGGTAATCAGGTAGGCCAGCACGAACCACTTTCAGGGATCCAATTTCGCCCCGGGAGTTTTGCCCCTTCTCCCGCCCCTTTTCTTGCATTTTTCTTCCCTCTCTCATTTCGTGCAAGTGCACTACGTGTGCGCAATGTCGTTTACCATCCCCGGATTCGTCCAATTTTGCGGACGAGCTCGTTTTAGTGGGCCACGATTCGATATGTCTAGAAATGCGCTCTAGACATTGATTTGACATTTTTTTCTAAACTATTGGAAAAATAGCATATCGATAGAGCGATATAATGTGAATTCAACATCGCAAACATTCGCCATCAAATGCACGATATTTTTATAGTCGAAAAACGAATAAACAAGGTTTTGAAAAACAAAGCCAAAAATATTTTTGGCTGAAAAACGACGGTCGGATGATATTCGCGAAGATGTACCACCGCGTCCTTAATCGCAAGACTCTTTTGACGTCATTTTTAAAGCCGGATGCAAATGGACCATAAAACTGGGCATCCGGGTGCCTCATTTACGAGCGTAGAAAGTTTTTAGATCCGTGCGAAAATCGAGTTGACGATCGCGCAAATGAGAGGGCCTGTTTTATCGGTCTGCGAGTTCGAAAGTAATTCTCTTACTTGACAGGAGGACCGAGAGACCGCGTGACTCGCGAGACTAACTTCGCTAAGGCGAGAATGCTCCATTCGTTCCGACTTCCTTATCGATTGCACTCCTTCAATATAACGTCATTTCACAGCTGTTACGTTCGGTGTATCATTTTAATATCTACTTTACGCCGGGATATGTTACTAACGCAGGAAATTCGCAAAGACCCAAAAAGATTAATTAATAATAATAAAGCGCGATTTTTTTCGTGCAAGGACAAGAAAAATTTTTCGTACAATATTTTCAAGTTTTATAGTCTCATGAAGATTATTGAAAATAAATTTGCAATTTCTCTAAAGACTTAATTAAGTCTCTACGAATCGGTTCGAGTAAGATGTCGATTCTGAAATACCGTTGATGCTCAGACTACCTAGTATATTCGGCTATTTTCGCGCCCACGTCAGCGAGAGATAGATACGCGGACAAATTATTTTCGTTCGCATAAACAAAGCCACGACTTGAAAGGGGAGTTTAAATTGTTCGCTAGTTTTGCGCGCCCACGGCATTCCCTCCCTCGCTCTCTTTCGTCCTAGTCCAACCCTCCTCCCACCACCTAATTCTCGATATTTTTTTCTCTTTCCTCCCCTTTATTTTGCTCTCTCTCTCTCTCTCTCGTTCTTTAACCTCCCTCCCTCCCTCTCTCTTGTTGCCGGAAGGGAGAGAGGCGAATGCCCGCGTGTTGTTGCTGCTGCTGTCCATCAGGAAAGATCCCGGGATGCGAGTCTGCGCTTGAAGCCCATTGATTAACCGTTGTCTGCCGTATGCTGCGAGCGAGAGAGGAAGCGGAAGAGTGTTTTCGCGCTCGCGCGATGCGAGAGAAGAGGAGAGAGGCGCGCGCGTTCAACGTGCCCACGAGCAACGTTTATGAAAACTTTGTGCATCGGCTGCACTGCAACAACGAATAAAATAACGCCCTCGATTATCCCGGGCCAGTCTCTCTCGCTCCGCTCCCCGATCCGCGCGACCCAGCCGCTTAAATTATCAGCGTTTTCCATTTTGTATCGCCGATTACTTGCCCCGAAGCCCAATCACCGGCATCGCCGATAAGCAACGTCAAAGAGCTCCCGTGCTGGTTACAGAGTCAAACGCTACCCTAGTGTCTACCTAGTGTCCAGCCCGTGTTATTAATGGAGCGTTCGTTTGCCAGCTGGTTGTTCTTTATATATTCCTATCGCGGCAAGATAAAATACTGATCTTACACTTTGATGAGTTAGACAAGTACCTAGAGCTCGCAAATTATAATGCAGAAAAGCAAAATCGATACTGCTAAAAAAATATTTAAGAAAAAACGAAGAGTAATTTGATCCAAAAACACCTAAAGTCAAAAAATATAAAATATTATCCAAAATCTCCTGCAATTTTTATACGTTTCTATATGTACATATACCTATACTCTATATGTATATACAGGGACGTATCATTGTGTGTGTATGTATAAATACATTCCAGATTCGACGCAGCGAATGAATATTTCCGCGGAAAAACAGCATGGATTTTCAAGCTTTTCTACGATGAGAGAATATTTCGAATATATACGATATTTACGTCGGCTGCAACAAATGTTCTCTTTTATCACAAAGGATTAAACCGACAATTGTTCAATCGTATATGTTATGTACAACGCGATACGACATGATGTTAACACGCCAGGCTTAGGAGGATTACAGGCAAATGATGCCGTAGTGATCGATTAGCACGTAGTTCCATCCATATATATCAGAACGATTTCCCCGTTGCATTTCCAACGCAATGACGCGAATAATAAATTGAAGAACATGTGCGGGTAATAGGAAAATTATAATTATATAAATCACTCACCGGATGAAGACAGTGATTAAACTAGAATTAGATTATCGTCTTACCTGAAACAGAAAGTATAATGTCAGCACTCGAAAAACAAGATATATTTTATTTAGAAAAACCATATCGATTAATTAGATTACTACAAACATTTCCTCTATAAACAATTATGTAGAAGGATAGAGAAGTCGGATTAGTTTAAGAATTTAACAAGTAACGAATGTCGCAATATAATTGTGATGCGAGCAAAAGCATGAAATGCGATAAAAGATACAAATTAAAATGTGCGAGTTTCGCAAATTCTCGAGGTGGCCAAAAATATTTCCGCGCGTTTTTTTAAGTAGAAACATCGAGGATGATCGACGTGATTTCACGTATAGAAACAAACGAGCGAAATACAGAGACGCGGAACCGCCAGAATAGCTCCTAGGATCAAGCGGGGTGGAACAAAAAAAAAGCACCCTCCGCGATTTTTATTCTCGTTCCCCTCCATCTGTCCACCCGTTGCTTTCTCCCCATTTCGTCCGGTTTTTTAATTCGCGCGATATTTCCTGGTCGTTCGCATGTTAATTTTCGACGACCAATGACGCGGCAAGCCCGCGGGGCACAGACGTCGATGATATTTCGCGAGCATGTTTCGAGAGCGGGTCGAGAACAAAATTCCCGATCGCCGGACGCGCAACCAATTCCACCCCCGCTCTTCGCTTGCCGCACTCCTCTCTCCCTCCCTCTTTTCTCTTCGATATCGATATGAGCGAACGTTGTACCTTATCACGGCGATGCATTACCGAATAGTATATAATATGCACAAAGAATGCTGGCGGGAAAACGGTGAAGGGGATGAGATTAATAAAGGGAACGCATGGAAACAATTGTGGATGGATTTTTGAAACATTTTATGACATTTTCGCGAAAAGTAAATATTAATACTGATGCAAATTACGCTCTCCTGTATGCTACAAAATAAATAATGGTTTCATAAATATAATCATTGCGTGTGCAATAGTTTATGCAACCGACGATGATGATATTGGGTCAAACCAAATGCAAATTTAATTTTGTACGTTTGATTGTTTAATTACTCATGCAGATTTGCATGCTGGTCCTCGTTAATTAAATAATTAATTAAATATCTATCAAATATTTCTCCGATCTCGTTTATAGAATCAAAACGTGCGTGCCAGAGTTGTTTCTTATAGTCTAATTATTTTTCTGTATATAATTATACATATCATTTTCCCCTTCGTTATATAAATATTGATGGAATTTGATTGTTTTATCGACGATTTAAAAAAACAATTTCCCGAATTAAATAACGACTGACATTTAATTGCGAGACGACATTCGGGTGAGTGTACAATATATTAAATGGAACTTTAACATTTCTATTATCGTATTATTTATTAAATACGTTCGACTAAAATATAGACTGAGATTTTTATGGAATAACGACCTTAGTCTACGTTTCAGAGTTGAATGTACCATATAATATATTCTCATCCGTGCATTAAACAATTGCCTCTGATATGCAATAGTTCGATGATATTGAATAATCTATTTGAATATCTAATATAACGAATATAGGAATTAAAGAATTTAAAAAGTATTATATAATATT